GGCGGTGGCGTGCGGACAGAGAAGGAGGAAGAGAGGGCAAAAGCAGTCACCTGAAAGCTTTCGTACCGAGGTGTGAAGGTCAGGAAGCAAAACAAGGCGACAGTGTAGCACGGCCATGGCGGAATCGCATGCAGCGGCGGCGAGCTAGGGTTGCGGCGATGCTTGCGAGCTCCGGGCAGAGGCAGTGCTTGCTCTAGGGTGAGGGTAGGGGTTGCGGTGCGGCTCAGGGCGCTATTTATGAGGCCAATCTGCTTGAGGCGCAGGCCAAGGCGAGTAATCGGGGCAAAGACGAACACGACATCGGGCAGAGTCCGCGTTGGGAACGAGCGGGAGGTAGGAGACGCGGCTGACAAGTGGGCCTAGTTCGTTATGGACTTAGTGGGCGGGGTCACGATGGCATTGAGCCATGGAGAGAAGGAAGGCAGCGCGGCGTCCGCGCGAGCTGCGCTGCGGAGCAAGGAAGGAGAAATGGGCTGGCTTTACCGTTGGGCTTGTGGGGGAAGAGGGACAGGGAGAGTTGGGCCACAAGGGTTGGCGGCCCACGCGGGAGAGGGCAAGGGAGTGAAGAGCTAGCCGGGCTAAGCTGAGAGAGAGGCCAGGGTGAGCCAGACCGAGAAAGAGGAGAGATGGAGTAGGCCTTTGGGCCAGATTGAGAGAGGAGGAGGATTTTCCATTTTCCAATTTTCTTTTCTTATTTTAAAACTGTCGATGTTTTACCACCGGCAACCCGCCACGGGGGTACCCGGGGCGGTGATTTGTTCGGAGGGGTATCGGCGTACGTAGGAACTCGGTGGTAAACGCAGGGAGACAACAATTTATACTGGTTCGGTACGCCAGAAAATCACGGCGCCCTACGTCCAGTGTGGAGTAGATAGTATGTTGCGCCCTGCGCTATGTCGTCCTCTTGATCTCTATCGAGATCTAGAGGTTTTTATTGTGTGTTGTATGGTGTGTTCTTGTGTAGGTGCCGATCTAGGGACCCCTGCCCTCCTTTATATAGTCCAGGAGAGGCGGAAGTCCTAGTCGGTTACAAAGTAGAGATCCTAGTAGGATTATGTGTAACTAGTCCTAGTAGGATTACATGTAGAGAATCCTATTTGGACTAGGTTTTCTTCTCTCTTCTCCGTGGGGAACCCTATGGGTCCCGCATCGACAAAAACCAAATTCAAATATGAACCAAATCGAATTCAAATATTATTTCAAATATACTTTTGATTCAAAAATAGGTTAAGAACTCTTGGTAGGTTTGCAAAAATAAACTTTTTAAACTCTTTTTATTTTCCAATTCTATTTTTCTTTTCCTTTCCTTTTCCAGAAATGATTTTCCAAATCCATTTCAAATAAGTTTTGAATTCATTTGAACTTTGAACCAAAACAAAACATCACCAAGAATAAATATGCATCAGTATAAGTGCCATAACGTGTTGCTAAACCTTATGATGAATTTTAATTTAATGAAAAATATTCTTTTTTCTATATTTCATGAGCACATAAATTTTAAACCTATTTTCAAAATTGAAATTTTTAGGGTGTTACAATTCTACCCCCTTAAGATGAATCTAGTCCTTGAGATTTGGAAGATGGTAATCAAAGAGATATGGATACTCTGCCTAGATCTTCTTTCCTTCCTCGTGATTCATAAATTGTTTCAAAAAGCTAGGGGTACTCCACCACCTTAGTCTCTTCCAAGGTTGCACCTTTCATATTTGATCACCGTCTTTCGCTGTGCCACTCTGATAACCTTACTCAAAGTAACTTGCTTCACTGATTCCAAGATTTTGAAAGGTACTCCAAACAATTCTCAGGTGATTCCAATCACTAGGCCACCTGTCCTTTTTAGTTCACACTATCAAATCTCTTTCTTCGTATGCTCACCTCCCAACGGAGCCTCCTTACTTTCTTGGTCCAAAGTAGGTTCTATCACCAAATTTAAAACATTAATGACTTCAGATGCTCAGATCAAGTTGCTCAACTCTCAAACGACTATTCTTAGTCCATGGTGTCATCCGAATCCTCTTAGCATAACTCTCCTTTGCTAAGGACATCGACAACGACTTTTGTTTTTCCTGGTGATAGCACTTTTTCAAGTCATAATTCCTGAGTACTCCAGCCCAACTACAATGTCTCATATTTTGATCCAATTTTAGTGATATATTTTTCACACTCTTATGTCCTTGTAGATGCCACGCTTAGGTCCAAGAAATTAGCATCTCCACATCACGGGTCAGTAGTCCCACTCACGCTTTCTTAATTAATTTAATCCATAAGCCACTACTTTTCTTCTTAAAAACCTTGATGAGATGCTTCTCAAAAGATCAAGAAACTCTTATTCCGATTTGGCAAAGCTAACACATATGTTTTACTTCAACCTCTTCTTCGAAGCTTACCTGAGGTTTCTTGATCCAAACGAACTTAGTAATATTTCCCAATACCACTATAACCGTTTTCTAATGATCTTCAAAAACCCTCCAATGAACCTCTGATAGAATCTTACTATTCCAAGGAACTCCGAGTCACTCTTACATACTTGGGTGGGTTACAACCAAACTCATCAGGGAATGGAGGCTCGGCGGAGCGTGATTCACCGATGTAGAGCTCGTAGGTGGCGCTGCTCCGGTAGAGAAGGCCGCGGTGGGGCGGGAGGCACGGTGGAGAGGGAGGAAGACGGGCTGCCGTGCTCTGGTGCAGAGGAGATGCTGGCCGACGGAGCGGAGGCGCGATGGAGAGGGAGGCGTGGTGGAGAGGGAAGCGCAGTGGAGAGCATGGTCGCCGAGGCGGCGCGGCGGAGCGCAGTCACGGAGAGCTGTCGCGGCGCTGCGGTGAGGTGAGTTTTTTCCTTTTTTTGTAGAATGGTTGGGGGCGAGGGCGAGTGGGTGAGCAAATAAGAGGCGGTCGTTGGGCTGCGTCGCGGCCCATCATCGGCACCGTCTGGGCGGCGGACGTCCTATATACCCAGCATTACCTAACCTGGATGGCTACACTGTTGTAAAATGAAGTGATCATGTCATGTGTTTCAATCATACGTGAGATCATAGCTTTGTAGACAAATGTTGTAAAACATTTTAAACATTTGATGGGTCTGTTTTGGGCCCTGGTCAGTGAATGAAAGTGAACCAGGTGGGGTGCTAGACTTCTAGTGCCGTCCCCCCACATCAATTGCCTGGTCAGCTATAGCTAATCACCGTCTTCTAAGCTGATTTTGACCCCACGCGGCCAACTCAAACCAGCTATACCATGCATATTATATTCTAACATTTCGGTAGCAATATATGTTCCAATTTTACGTTCACACTTACTACTCCATCCCAAAAAGATACAACTCTAGGTGTGTCCGTACTCCGTTAGTCAAATTATTTTGAGTTTATCTAAATTTATACGAAACTATTAACATTTATAACTTTATTAAATGCTTATATTATGAAAATATATTGTATGAGATAGTTTGAGTTAGTACTGTCGTGGAATTGTATTTATTTTATTTTATTTTAGACGGAGGGAAGCTCAATCAAACATTTTTCAATGTCTTATCACTCAGTTTTTTTTTCCTAGAGGATTTGTTTTACGATTTGGGCTGACGAGCTTCTTCCGTAATTCCGGCGAGAATAGAGTAGTTGCGGTTTCTGGTTTCAGGTCAGGTTATTTTCAGTTTGTCCCGGGGGTTCAGAGAGAAGGCCCGGAGGACAGATCAGCGTCAGCCTATACTAGTCGCTGGGAGAGTATGAGGTGAGTCTGACAGGCACCGACGCCGGCGAGGACCCGCCGGACCGGGGTGGCATCTACTCCGGCGTGGAGGGAGGGGTTGGGCCGGAGCCCCGGAGTACGTTGTGTCGTTACATTCTCTATATAATCATCGATGCAGCGGCATCGCTTTCATTTCACTATCCTCCCCTGCAGCAGTAAGATCCCGGTGCAGATTGTGTAGGCTTGTTTATCGAAGAGCACACTTATTAATGATGGTAACGTACAACTAACATATACTAGACCCAAGTGAAGTCGTCTTCTTCAGGGATCACTGATCATCAGGGCCCTTTTAAATTTCGTTTCTCCATCATACACGCCAAATTCTTATGCCGATGACTCTGTCTGTGTCATCCAAACTTAACTGCGACTCTGCCTGCAAGTAGCAGAAAAACAAAACAAAAGCCGCCAGACACCAATCCTATTCAGATTTCAGAATTTACAATCCCATGCATATTAATTCCCATTCAGAATGGCCCCGGCCGGCCCATGCTCTAAATCTCTAATTCGTCTTCCTGAATTGCCGGACCTCATCGGCATGCCGTCATCATCTTCGAACTAATTGATTGGTTGGTTATTATTCCCCAATGCAATACTTACTCTAATCGATCGTCGGGTTGTGCACTGTGCTCCTGCCATCCGCTGCATTAATCCCCTGGCACCTCCACGTCTGCAGTGTTTATCCACGCACCCTCTCGATCTCTCTCCTCAGCAGTATATATAATATGCAAATGGACATGTTAATATGCTGCTACCATTAGTTCATCATTGCATATCTAGTGTTGCTGTGATGGCAAAAACATATAATATGATATAATATAGTTCCATGCTTGCCACTTTAATTTCTTCACTCGGCGACGACGACCAGCTTTACAGTTCATATATTACATCCCACAAGCATGCATGTTTCACGCTTACGCGCGTGATGCGCTGCGCCTATACTAACTAATCCCTTTTACCAGCTCATAACCCCCCCCCCACTTGCGCTTAACATCACAGCTCCTATAGTATATAGCAGCAGCTCATCGCATCCCATGGCGGGGCATGACCCTGATCTGACCTAACCAACCAGCTGCTGCTCCGTCCGTTTCGCTCTATAGCCAGCCAGCCATCGAAGCAAGTTGAAGCAGACAAACGAGAGCACAGCCACATCAAACAGCGGGTCCGATCCAGCAGAGAGCCCAAAGACTGATCCATCGATACTACCCAGATCGCCCATCCGCCACCGCCGTCGGTCCGTGCGCTAGCCACCACCCACCATCATGGCGCTGTCGGAGCTGCAGGCGCGGGCGCGGTTCGTGCAGTCGTCGGCGGCGAGCGCGGCCGGGCGCTGCACTTCGACGAGGACCGGTGGCTGAGCCGGGGTGCTAGCTCTGATACGGCGGGCGTGACTGCACTGCAATTGTTTTCTGTCCGTGTGTCTTAGTTGTGGGCAATCCAATCCAACCCGCAACACGCTGTTTCTGTCGACAAAAGTGGCCACAACACACGCAGCTTACTTGTGACATTAACAAGCCTTTTGTTTTGTCACACTAAAGATAATTGATTTTGGACGTACGGATATCGAGTTCATCCATATGCTTCACTAGTAGTGTAGTAGTAGTAGTATAGTGGTTTCATGGCATCTCCGATCCAGAGAAGGATTTTATATATACATAAAGTTCGCCCTTAAGGGCATTCGCCGCTTGTGCATGTGAGGTTAATCATGACAAAATCAAAACTATAAAACGTATTACTCCCTACTCCAGATCTGACGCTAGAATGGCCCCGTTCGCGTATCCTTAAACCCGACTTGATCCGCTTCTTTTTTTATCCAGAACAGTATTTTTCTCTCACAAATTCCTCCAGCATTCCTCCAACATATCCAAATTCCTCCAAGCGAACAGGCCCAATGTGAAATTGGAACGCGATAGAGATGTTTGCAAGACACGGTTGGAGATTTAACAATAGAATTGCTTTATAGATGTCGATTTTGGAAACTTTCCTTTTATCCTCTTTGACTCAAAACTTTGTTTTTTGAGATTGCGTGGAACATAGTGCTTGTGTTTGTAATAAGAATTAGCTATATGCATTAGTCGATGCAGAAGCTAAGATATTAATATATATTCCCTTTTCTAAAAAAAAAGAATGTGAAATTGGAATGTATGTGCATGGGAGTTAATTATACCGCCATCCCAATGAAAAAAGATACAACTCTAGATGTGTTCGTAGTCAAATTATCTTATGTTTGTCTAAATCTATACCTAATATTAAAGATGTAAAATTTCTCTCCACTCATTTTTTTTGTCCGGTCCTCCTCTAGCTAACTCCGTGAATATATAAACTGTCGTCAACAACCCTCCTATCTTATAGCATCTCAAGAGTTCCCAAAACACTCTCCCAATCCTTTAATTTTTAGCAAAATTGAAAAAACATGTCTCTAACAGTTTTCAATACTAACTCCCAATCTTTTACAATCTTTTAGCACTCGGTAAAAAATGACCGAACGCGCACAAAGATACGCGCAGACTCGCTCCTCCCAATCGCGTGGATCCTCCACGGGGTCGCGACTCGCGAGCTCTTGACGCGGCTGCACCGTGCGGAAGGGAAGACGGATCACTGCATCGCCCATGGCGGCGGCCGACGGTGCGGCAACCCGGACTGCCCTAAAGCCGCGCGGGGCAAGTCTGGGCGGTGCATCAAGCACGGCGGCGCGGGAACAGGTGCTCCGTAGAGGGCTGCATCAGGAGCGCCGAGGGAAGGGTCGGGCTGTGCATCTCTCACGGCGGCTGGCACGGCCACGTGAAGCGTGCACCCCGGCCCATCTGGCCGGGCTCCATACACGTGCATGTGCGCGTCCTATCAATGCCTGTATGCCTAGCGCGTTTGTTGCCATGGCGGCATCATGCCCGGCGGATGCGCGTGCTTGATCGATCAGTGTCTACGCGCAGGGTGTTCAGTCGATTAGTGACTGCCGCAAAGACGCACGGCGGCGGGAAGCAGTGCAACTTCGGCGGCGGCTGCGAGAAGTTCGCGCGTGGCCGGAGCGGGCTCTGCGCGGCGCACGGCACGCTGGTGGCCTCGCAGCAGAGCCGCGGCGGCGGCGGCATGATCAGTCAGGGCCTCTTCCACGGCATCGTTCGGTCCGCCAGCTCGGCTAACATGAATAGCGACTACTCGTCGTCGGGCGTGAGCACGGTGTCGGACCGCGGCGGCTCGCCTGAGGCGGCGACGAGGAGGCAGGGGAGTTCTGGAGGAGAAGATGAAGTTTTGGATTCTAATTTTGGAGAACCGTCGGAGTTGCAACATTTTTTTTTTGTCTCCCGATATGTTTTGGGAAGGTTGGAAAACTAGTTTTTTAGAGTTTTTTTTTTCACTCCTGAAGATGCTCTAAGTATGAATAGAATCCTAATTATAATATTGGTGGGTGAACGTGGAGACACAGGAAGAAAAAAAAGCAGTGTGCCGGCACCACCGATTTTTTTTTTCCGACGAAAGAAGGCTTCGGGCCCTCGATCAAACAGAAATGAACCGGACTTTCGGACGGTCGATCAATCAAACGGAAAAAAAGATATGCACACGGCACGACCAAACAGAACAAGGACGTACGGACACGACACAATGGAAAACGTCTATTTTTATTTCCTTTTTTTATTTCTTTTATGATATTTTCTGTTTTTTTTTACCTAATAATAAAAAGATAAAATTTCTGGTGACCTAAAATTTTCCGTTCAGACTAAACACTGATGCTTTATCCGTATCCAAGACGGGTGTTTTTTTTTTCGTTTCTGTTTCTGTTTCTTCTCTGGCTACTTTGCCTTTTTTTATTCTTTTCCCACACATAGGTGTTCCGTGCGTCAGGGTCTCATTAGGAAGGTGCCGCCCCCTCTCCTGTATGATGTCCGTGACCTTCTGTCCCTTTTATTTGTGTTTTTGTTTTTTATTTTTTGATGAAGTAGCTACGCTTTTATTATAAAAATAAGATAAATAATAAATACAAGGCACCGCTCGACCCTTGTCGCGGTCACTCAGTCGCTGCCGCTCCGCCGTTGCTGATGCGCCGGCCCCACACAGCGTTTGACGCACCGCTCTATCACGGTCGTGGCCGCGCCACTCGCCCACCCTTTCGCTGCCGACGCGCTGCCCTGCCGCTGCTGCTGTCGCCCCACACGCGTCTGACGCGCCGGTCTGACGTGAAATAAACAGAAATAATAAAATAAAAAATAAAGGGGAAAAAGAAACAAAAGGCATTTTAAGTATATTTCATCGTTTCCAATAATCCTGAGAAGCTATTCTACCATATATTCTGCTACCAAATAGGCTTTTCCGTTTCCGATTTCTCCCATGGTTCTTTACATCTTCCTTATCTATCTATATCTATATCTATATCTATACATCTATATACTTTGGCTGTGTTTAGTTCGTGAAATTTGGGAATTTGACTATTGTAGCACTTTCGTTTTTATTTGGCAATTAGTATTCAATCATAGACTAATTAGGCTCAAAACGTTCGTCTCACGATTTCCAACCAAACTGTACAATTAGTTTTTTTCGTCTACATTTAATGCTTCATGCACGTATCGCATGATTCGATGTGATGGATACTGTAGCACTTTTTGGGAAACTTTTGGGAACTAAACATTCCCTTTATATCCATAGCTATAGCTATACCTAATACTAAGAGAGAAAATTTCCACCAAATTATGTTTTGTCCAGCTGCCAATGCGGTGACGGCCGAGTGGCGGCGCACCACTGTAGCAAGAGAGAATGATGTCATTCCAGGAGGGGAGGGACGGCGGTTGGAGGCTGGCCGGAAGAAGAGGGAGGCGGGGCTGGTGGAGGAGTTGCGGGGATTGAGGCCGGCCACCGAGCTGCAGCGAGCCAAGAGGGGAGGGCGGCACTTGGATGCGCGCCGGAGGAGAAGAGCGGTTCAGGGAGAAGCTAAAGCCAACCCACGGTGGCTCGGAGTAGGGAGCCGGTGGCGCAGAAATGTGGCCGAGTGACGGTGGCACAGAGATGTGGCCGAGCGACGGCGACGTGGGGCGGGGAGACACAGCGTGGTCGAGGCCGAGGTAGAAGAGTCCGACACAGAGGTGCAGGAGGAGCTGAGGTCGGAGCTCAGAATAGCGACGCCGCGAGCAAAGCTGGCGCGCAGAGCGGTGGAGGTGGCCGTGCGATTTGCTTCTGGGCTTTGGCCACCTGGTGAGTAAATATTTTTATGCCTTTCAATGGGAGAAAAAGCTATCAAGTTTTTATTTTAATTCGATATAGATTTAACAGGATATTGTGATATTGTTACCAATGTTAACTTACTCTATGAATCCATCATAAAACAAATTATATTTTTAAAAAATTATAGAAGTAATAAAATAAAAATAGTTAGGTATGTAACACTCATGTCTTCATTTTTCGTTAATGTAGTTTTTTTCTTTCCTTTACAACGCACGAGCATATTTGCTACCTCTTATAAAAGCTATATATATATATATATATATATATATATATATATATATATATATATATATATATATATATATATATATATATATATATATATATATATCCTACTCGCAGGAGTAGTTACTCCCATGTGTATATCTCTAGATTTAGGATGTATATGGCCCGATGAAGTGTATGTAGATAGAGTATATTATCATACTAGACCATCTAGGGTACTATGTATGAATGACAAGTATGTATGTATACTTAGAGTATATAGTTATACTTATTTTATATGCTATTATCATAGTATTATATAATATATTAAAAAATATGTGCTCTTTTGGAAAAAAAATCACATAGTAAAGATCTGGAGTATCTTAATATTAGTATGTCAACATACTCAAACTGATAAATAAGTACGTACACATACGCAACGTGATTTATTGATTATAGGAGCAACTACTCCCGGAAGTATATAAAATGATATATATATATATATATATATAATCTATCCATATCTACTCGTTCATACATGTTAGAAGAAATTACGTCTAGGGATGATACGGATCTAATTCCTACATGTTTTGGGTTTCATTGCAACGTACAGACATGATTTATCTATAATATTAATTTAGTTTTCGTCCATTCATTGGTTTCGCCTTTTCTCTGAAAAAATAAAACAGCTTCCCTACTACCGTTCTCCATTTTCGTGTTTTCTATTCAGAATTTTTATATCCGTGGCTTCTCTTTTCTTCTATTGTTCCTCCGTTTTCATTTCTTTATTCTGAACTGTTATCCGCAAGTTACCTAGAGTAGCAAAGGATCCAACTAATAACTACTTGCCGGCTTTAATTAAGTATTAGAACTATGGATTTTTATGGGTCCTCACGATATTTAACTGTTATAACACATGGATAGTATGACAATTGAAGTTAATAAGTTATGATGTCTAAATATTTCCATGCTTTGTGTCGGGACAAAAAGGAATCTATCAAGATTGTATTCGATACATGTTAATAGGATAATATCGATATATTATTACCATTATTAGGTTATTGATAATATTGATACATGTTAATAGGTTATTGATATATTGTTACCATTATTAACTTAGGGGCTCTTGCGTTTGTACCCTTGTTTTGTATCGAAATTGTGATTTTACCCCTGTTTTTTTGACTTTATGAATTTACCCCTATGATTTTAAAACAAAGCACCAGTTTGCCCCTGCTCCGTCGTCCTCCCCTAATGGTGTTAAACTTTATACAAAAGGACATGAATGCCCATGTGATGTTGCCCCTGTTTATGCCTAATTGTGATTTTACCCTAATTTGCCCCTGTTTGTTATGCCATTCCCGACGAGCCATGAAGCAAGGCGCCGACGTGGCCATCCTTGCGGTGCTGCGGGGAAGAGCAAGCGTACGCGAGTGCCAGTCTGGCGCTTACGCGCGCGCCCGCCGAGTCCAAGACTTAGCAGCGGCAGCGCGCTGCACGAGTCGGCAGGTCGGCCCCGTGGTGGCTCCTCGCCGTCGGCGCGTGCCGCAAGGCGTGGAGGCGGCGACGGCTTCGGGTCGTAGGCAGCACCAGCATGACCGCCGAGTCGGCGGCGTCGTCCGAACGCGACGCCTCCACCTTCCTCTGCTTCTGCGGTCTGGGCGGCGCGGCGGTGGCGGTGGCGGGCCAGGACTCCAGGCCCATGAGGCGCGCGACGACGCCCGTGGCGACCCCATCGGTGGCCGGGTGCGGCGCCATCAGCGGGGCAGTAGGAGGCGGGCACGGGAGCCTACGTGGGGAGGAGGAGTGGAGGAAGGAGGGGAGGAGGCAGCGCGGAGACCCGCTACCAGGCGCCGCCGGGAGCCGCCGCCAGGCGCCGGAGCCGCCCGCTCCGCCCGCCCTGATGCCAGTATCCCAGAGGTGCCCGACTGGAGCAGCAGATGGTGCGGCCGCGATCCTGTGGGGCAGGGGACGGGGCGGCGGCCGAGGCCCCCAGCCACGCCGCAGCGGGCGTGAGCCTAGGGAGGAGCAGGGTGGAGTGAGGATGAGCTGGGCCGCCGCCAGCAGTCACGCCGTCGCCGGTACTCCCCAAACCCTAACACACGAGCCGCACCGCCGGAGTGTGGCGGAGGGAGGAGGAGACGCGCTGGGGGGAGCAGGAAGGAGGGAGGATGAGCCACACCGGGGGGGAACGGGAAGGAGGGAGGAGGAGCTACGCCGACACCGGTAGCTGCACCGCTGCCAGGCCACGAAACCTTCTACGAGCCGCGACTTCTCATCGGGAACGGGTCGAGCGAACGGGTGAGAAAGGAGAAAGGGACTGAGGGGTATCATTGTCTTTTCATGTAAGTGTCTTTTCTTTTTTCTTTTTTTTACCATTTAATCCAAGCATTTTAGACGGTGTTACAAAACAGGGGTAGACGGGAGCTTCGTTTGAAAAAAGCGAGGGTAAAATTACAAAGTTACAAAAAGAGGGGCAAAATCACAATTGGAGTACTGGACAAGGGCAAGAACGCAATTTTCCCATTAACTTATATTATTGTGTGTGTGAGCACGTGCGTGTGTACCGTTCATTGTTGTTTTTATAAACAACCAAAGTTTTTTCTCTCGTTGCAACGCACGGGCATGCTTTGCTAGTTTATATAAAACTATGAGCAATTATAATTTTAAATACATGTATATTATGAAAATATATTTTGTAACGAACGTAGCAATTCTTATCTGATATCATTAGTTTGGTCAAACAACAAGATTGCCTTGTTGTTTATATAAATTTTATCAAACTTGAGATAGTTTGAGTTAGTCACTACTCCACAATACAGTGATGTGGTTTTTTTATCACTGCTGGTAGTCCCAACTTGATAGTGATAGGTGATAAAAATATAGAAAATATGTGTTTTAAGCGCACATACCAGCTGAGCTACACGATACATGTGGCTATACAGCTGACGTTATTCTTTTAACTACATATTTTTAAATCTTATATTGTATATTTGGCACTAAAAATACTGCTTGTTCGCTTGATGGTTTCAGCCAGAGCTTATCAGCCTACCAACAGTGTTTTTCTCTCACAACAAACCAGCACCAGCCGGACTTATCAGCCCAGAAACCAACCGGCGAATAGGCTCATAGTCTCAAATGAAAAGTTACTAACTATAAAGTTGTAGATCTTGTCGAGTACTACAACTTTAATGTTAACTTTGTCTCCATTCGACATTGTTAATCATGTCAAATCCGATCAAGAACTTATGTTGAATACTTAGACTTGTAAATCGCTCAAATTAAAAAGTTATCGACTATAAAGTTTTAGATCTCTTTAAACTCTACAAATTTAATATAAAATTTATCTCAATCCAATATCATATGAAAAAGTTACGAATTTTTTTATAAAACAGCTATCACTGTCGGTTCGTGGCTTGAACCGGTAGTGATTGCCACTCCTGTTTTCAAACCAAGAACCTATAGTGATAGGTGGGCACGGTAATAGTCTGCCAGTTGTCTTATCACTATCGATTAAAGCCACGAAACTGCAGTGATACGAATTATATTTTTTAGACAGAGACAGTAATGGCCCCGTTCGTTTCGCTGAAAAAACAAGCCGCAACACTGTTTCGGCTGATTTGTTGTGAGAGAAAAACACTGTTCCGACTGAAAAAACAAGCTGAAAAAGACGGGTTATAAGAGAAGCGAACATGGCCAATAACGCTCAACCAAACATTTGTCAATGTCTTATCACTCAGTTTTAAATTTTTTGTATTGTGATTTAGGTCAGAGTACGTTCTCTATAGTGAGAGACTATTTGCTCAGATGTCCGGACGCGGCATCCGTCCGGACGCCCACGCTTGCTTCCCGTCTGTTTTCAATAATGATACCCTCAGGCGCCCATGGATGCAGCTTCATGCTTCGCTTCGCCTCATGCTCCGTGCCTACTGCCCACCGATGGATGTAGCTCCGTGCTCCGCACCTACTGCCACACCCATGGATACAGCATTGTGCTCTGCGTCTGTTGTCGCGCCCGCTTCGCTTCCCGTGCACACGCGGGGAACGCTGCGCTCGAGGGGACCACCTCCGCCTACAAACCCTTGCCACACCTACTGATGGAACACTTGCAACATAAAGCATTTGCTACAACGTACGTCCAAAACAGATGAAACATTTACAACGTACGCTTGCAACATATGTGTATGGGCTGCAACATACGTAACATTCAGATAAAACACTTACAATATACGTTTAAAATAGCTGAAACATTTGAAGAATACACTTGCAACATACGTTTATAGCCAGTGCAACATATGCAATATCCAGATAAAACACTTGCAACATACGTTTGAAATAGCTGAAACATTTAAAACATACACTTGCAACATACGTGTATAGTCATTGCAGTTTATCAAAAAAATATATGTATAGTCAATGCAACATATGTAAACATATGCAACATATATCTGAAACACATGAAACATACGATTGCAGTATGTGCTCATCTACTTGCTGCCCTCCAATGGACGCGCGTTGACGCGGAGCTTGATGCCGGTAGGCGGATGGATCGTGGCCGCGGCAGGAGGCACGAGGCGCGGGGGCACGCAGCGCGAGGCACGGGCGGCGTGTGGCACGAGGCATGGGCTAGGGTCCGCGGCGCGAGACGCAAGATGCGGTGCACGAGGCGCGAGGCGCGAGCCGCTGAGGCAGGCGGGTTGGTCCCGTCCAGAAAGGACAGACGCCCTGAGGTATCGTTACCGTTCTCTGCACATCATCGATGCAGCCGCATCGCTTCATTTCACTATCCACCGCAGCATCCCTGTGGAGATTGTGCAGGCTTGTTAATCGAAGAGCACACATAATTATAATGGCATAACTAACATAGTATACTGATACAAGCTAAGTGAAGTCGTCATCTTCAAGGTATTTTAAATTACGTTTGCATCATCCACAGCAAATTCTTATGCCGGAAATAGTGTTTTTCTCTGCCCCGTTCGGCTTAACTTATAATCCGCACTATTTAACTTGTTTTTTCAGTCGAAACAGTGTTTTTCTCTCACAACAATTCAGTCAGAACAGTATTTTTCAGTCAAGTTTCAGCAATGTGTCGTCAAAAGTTAACTGCAAGTGGCAGAAAAACAAAAGCCGACAGACACCAATCCTATTCAGATTTCACAATTTGCTCCTGAAACAGGAGAAGAGATCCCATTCACAAATTGGCGCGTCTAGAAAATTAAGATAGGAGGAGCTTCTCTCGTTATCTTCTACCTCTAGTTTCTTCTGAACTTTCTTGGTACCAATTTATAGGTGGGCTTTAGAGAGGCTATATATATTTTGAGTAGCAGTAGCGGGGACTGTCCACCCCACCGCGGTGCTAGATCCGCCCCTGTTCAGAATGGCCGCCGCGCATGTTCTAATTCGTCGTCTTTCCTGCTGGTACCTCAGCATCACTACGGGGAACGGGAGCTTTCCCGTGTGCCTACGGCACATGGCAAATAAACTAAAACACTCGGCAAACCCTTCACCAAGTGTAACACTCGACAAATGGCACACGGCAAAAATTTATCGGCAAACTCACTTTGCCGAGTGTTTTTCGTCGGGCACTCGGCAAAGACGTTGCCGAGTGCCCAAAAAACACTCGGCAAACATTTTTCGCAAGAAATAAAAAAAAACAAATTGCCACCGGCCGCCGGCCACCACGGCCACCACGCCGCCACACCCGCTGCCCCACGCCGGACGTCGCCACGCCACTCACGCCACGCGCCCACCACGGCCACCACGCCACCAAGCCCCACGCCGGACGCTGCCCGCCACCATGCCACCCGCCCGCCACGCCGCACGCCACCCGCCGGATCTGGGAGAGGGGAGGGTCGGCGGCCGGGACGCTGCCGGATCCGGGAGGGGAGGGGCCGCCGCGGATCTGGGAAGGAGTGGGGCGGCGCCGGGAGAAGGGGAGGCGGCGGGAAGGAAGGAGGGTGGCGACGGATCCAGATCAGCGGGAGGGAGGCGTCTGGGCCTTGGCGAGAAGGGAAGAGGGCGTCGGATGCGGCGGGGGAGAAGGGAGGAGGCGGCGGGGGGAAGGAGGGGTGGTCGGCCGCCCGGATCCGGCCGGGAGGAGAGGGCCGGCGAGAGAAGGGGTGGGGCGCGCGGAGACCTTGGTCGGAGAGAAGGGAGGGCGGCGTCTGGACGGCGTGGGGGAGAAAGGGAGGCGGCGGCGGGGGAGGAGGGTGGTCAGACCGCCGGATCCAGCCGGGAGGGAGAGAGGCGTCTGAACGCCAGGCTGGGAGAAGGGGAGGGCCGTCAAGGGGAAAAAAGATAGGGCGCGTCCACGGTTAAAAAGCATATTTTTCCTTTGCCGAGTGTCCTGGATCTGGGCACTCGGCAAAGTTTTTATTTTTTATTTTTTTTCTTCTTCTTCTTCTTTCTCAGAAAAAATATTTTTTCCTTTGTCGAGTGTCCTAGATCTGAGCACTTGGCAAAGTTTTTTTTTCATTTTTTTCTTCTCATTCTTTCCCAGAAAAAGGATTTTCTTTCTTTGCCAAGTGTCATGAATCTGGGCACTCGGTAAAGTTTTTTTTTTCATTTTTTTCTTCACCTTCTTTCCTAGAATTTTTTTTTACTTCTTTACCGAGTGTTAAAAAAAACACTTGGCAAACCCCATCTTTGCCGAGTGTTTTTTTTTACACTCGGCAAACCTCCTGTTTACCGAGTGTTTTTTTTCGAGTATTTTTAGCGCAGCACTCGGCAAAGATCTTATTTGCCGAGTGCCCGAGAGAATACATTCGGCAAACATAAAAACATTCGGCAAATTTGACGTTTCCGGTAGCGATGCATGCCGTCATCAAGCCCTCTTCAGATTAAACTGACTGATTTGATTATTGTTCCCCAATACTTACTCTAATCGATCGGCGGGTTGTTCTCCTCCGCTGTGCGCTGCATTACCATACCATTATCCCCTGGCCCCTCCACGTCTGCACTGTTTATCCACGCACGAACCCTGCTGTGGCCTGGTCTGCCTCTCGACCTCTCTCCTCAACAGTATAATATGCATGATCATTAGCCTGTAGTGATCACATCATCATCATGACGAATTTGCACATCGTTAGGGACAAGTTCATCATTGCATCTAGCGTTGTTGGCAATATAGTTGCAGCCTTGCCGCTTTCTTCTACACTCGGCGACGACCAGCTTTACAGTTCATATATTCCAGCATGCATCGACGACTATCACATTCCACATGCATGTTTCACGCTTACGCGCGTGATGTGCCTGCTAATTAATCTCTTTTAACAGCTCCTAACCACCCACTTGCGCTTATTAGCATCACACTAGTAGTTGTAGTTACGTAGTATATAGCAGCAGCTCGTCGTCGCATCCCATGGCGGGGCCGGGGCATGACCTGACCTACACCTAACCAACCAGCTGCTGCTGCTCCATTTCTCTAGCTAGCCATAGCCAGGCATCCAAGCAACTTGAAGCAAACAAACGAGTGCACAGCGAGATCAAACTGCAGATCGAGTTGAGTGATCCATCGAGATCCAGATCACCCGTTCGCCGCCACCGCCGTCGGTCAGTGAGGCGTGAGCTAGCCACGCCATGGCCCTGTCGGAGCTGCAGGCGCGGGCGCGGTTCGTGCAGTTGTCGGCGGCGAGCGCGGGGCTGCACTTCGACGAGGACCGGTGGCTGAGCCGGGTGCGGCAGAGCCTGGAGCGGGAGGCCGCCGACGCGCTGGGCGCCGCGGCCAAGGTGTTCGACGTCCCGCGCCTGCTCAGGGCGACGCGGCCCGAGGCGTACCTGCCGCAGCACTTCGCGCTGGGGCCCTACCACTGCGGCCGCCCCGAGCTGAGGGACATGGAGCGCTACAAGCTCGCCGCTGCCAAGCGCGCCGAGAAGCTCTTCGCCGAGGGGCGAAAGTTCGACCACCTCGTGCAGCAGCTGCTCCGGGACCAGGACAAGATTCGCGCGCCATACCACAGGTACGTATGTACGCCGTGTGCTGTGCTGTGCACGTCCATCTAGATGCACTCACTACTACACTCATCATCGCCTTTGATCCTCGCCTAATATCCTTGCTTCTTCTTACAATTGACAAAATCCCTAGTGAATTGACTAAACTACTTACTCGCTTTGTGTCCCCCTAAAAAAATGCCAACATTTACTATAATTGACAAAATCCCTAGTGAATTGATAAAATCCGGAGAGTCAAACAATTTAAAGTTTAACCAAAGTTTATATATGAAAACTACCAACATTTATGAAATAAACACCAATACATTAATTAATTATAGAATATATTTTCGTAGCAAACCAAGTTGAAGACATAAATGTTAATATTATTTACTATACGAATCTCATAGTTGCAAAAAAAAATTGTGACGGCGGGAGTATACATATACTGGAGTGCTAACTATTGTTCTCCTAGAGTATTGTCTCCTGCTGCCTTAACTTACTTCATACCAGATGGTTGTTGGCCTAGCTAACGTGATCTTTTCTGCTCCTATATTAACAGAACTACGGCGGTCCTGCTGCCTTTCCTCTAGAGCTTACTCGTTGAGTGAAGTTTGTTTTGTTTATGCCTCAACTCTTCGAGTACAGGTCGTAGTATCTGAACTCACACACCAACTCACATCACCACACATACATAAACTCACACAAACCCTCTAGTGTGCAAGTTAGACTTACACCCCACATGTGAGGCTGCAGATACACAGGACCTACAAATTTATTATCAGGGAAAAACCCGGTGAGGCACGCGAGTGTCGATCCAGGGAATCGAACTCATGCCCGACTGCTGGCACACCTGGCGAGCGAGCCAACCGAGCTATGCTCGGTCCTCTGAGTGAAGTTTGTTGGTGATACAGCAGTAGTAGTGATGGTTTTAGAACCGGTCATATAGGCTTCCCTTTTTCTCCTACAACTAAAAAGAACAAAACGTGGATATTTTTTGGTGCGATATTTGTTTTGGTTCGTCCGTCTGCCCACGCCTGCGATACCCGCCTGCTTTGAAGGAAATAAATCGATCACCTAAGGCCATATGCATGGAAGGAAACAATAATCATGCATCGAAATCATGCTGCTCTGAAAGGGAGGTATGTTGATGTTCTTCAAAGGATCTCCGCCTGCTTTGAAGGAAACAAATCAATCACCTGAGGCCACATGCATGGAAGGAAACAATAATCATGCATCGACCCCTGCGATATTTGTTTTGGTTCGTCCGTCTGCCCACCCCGACCCCTGCGATACTGCGGCTAATAAAAAAAGAAAAATCCCCCCTCGTCTCTCTCGTGACCCGACGCCTGACGGCGTTCCCTCCCCCCGACGGCCGACGGCGCTCGTCCCTCCCGGCCGCGGCGACGCTCCTCCCTCGCCGGCGGCGGTGGCGCTCCTTCCTCGCCGGCGACGGCGGCGCTCCTCCCTCGCCGGTGGCGCTCCCTCTCACGGCGGCCTCCCATCTCCAGCGAAGCTTTGCGAGCTCGGCCTCGACGCGGCCAAATGCGCGGGCACGGCGGGCCCTGGCTGCATCGCGTGGGGGCTAGGACGGCCGCGCGGCAGGTACCTTCCTCTCCTAATCCCCATCTCTTCTTCTTGCGTTGGATGCTGGATGTGTGAAACCTATCTTAATGAGGAGCTAATCTGGATGTGTTGCACATGCTTCTTTGCCTGCACTTGCTGATTATGTATGAAACCTATCTGAATGAGGAGTGAAATGGCACGGTTGAAATTGAAACCAAATTGAAGTTGAATAATTCAGCTATGTATATTTCCATGATAGCTCTGTATATTTCCTCAATACACGGTTGAATAATTGGGACCAATCGATTTTGTTGATTATACATTAGACATGTATCTTAGATATGTTTGGTAGATGATATGTATGCTGAAGCTGCTCCCATGGCATTGCTGTTGTACGTTAGATTTGTAGTTGCTGCATTAAGAACATGTGAACTCCGATCAAACATTGTCGACTTCGGCAGGTATCCGCATGGACGCTGAGTATTTTGGTCCTGACAGAAGCATGCAGCTTCTCATGAGAAGAACAAATTGAAGCAACGTGTGTGCAAGCCATCTTCAGTGTGCGTGCATGACTGCATATATGTATATGCGACTAGAAGAGGTGAAAGGGAAAGAAACTGATCTAGAGTGCAAGTGCACACAACATATCTAAGATACATATATTATGAAGTAGCTCACTGTCCCCTCCTGTCCTCCATTTTTATTTTTCAGATATATATTATGAAGTAATTAGCTTGTTATAAACGTCATATATTTGAAAACGGAAACGGAGGGAGTACTTGTGCATTTTGTGTAGAGCCGCACTAGCCTAGGATAACACTGCAGCCTGCATTCTTGTTGTTTTTGCATTCATGTGTATAACTTCAGAGGAAGTGTGCAGTGTGCTACATATAGGCTGTTTGGTCATGCTTTGCTTTGCAATGTTCCCTTTTCTCAATTCTCGTGGCCTGGTTCGTTAGGTAATTCAGATAGATATGTCTAGTTAGTGGATATGGATTATAATAAAAGGGTTGAAACTGTATCTGAGGAAGAAGAAGAAGAAGATGAAATGATGATGCTTGTTTTTCTGGCGCTATATTTAGCTTTTATCAGAACTAGAACAAGAACTCCATGTTACACTTCAAAGCTTAGTGGTTCAGAATATACGCGTGAACTTCTTGAGGGCCATCCACATCGTTCTTATCATAATTTGCATATGGAGCCATGGATTTTCAAAGCACTTGCAGATTATCTTAGTTCAAGAGGGTTACTGTAGAAGAACAACTAACAATGTTCATGTACATGCTTTTTTACTGCCTTGTGTGATAGGTTTCAGCACAGTGAAGAGACAATATATAGACATATCGCAGCAGCCTTTGATGCAATCTCTTCATTGGCTTTTGATTTTGTGAAGCCCCCATCATCTGAGACCCATTGGAAAATATCGATCAATCCACATTTTGCACCTTACTTTTAGGTACATATAACAAATATATGTACTGTTTCAAAATTCTTACCTTTTTTCTTACATATATACTAATTACAAATAGCACATCTTCTCTCCCTTGCAAAACTGCTTAGGAGCGATAGATGGGACTCATGTTCCAATCACAATCAATGCAAGTAAAGCAGCACCGTATCGGAATAGAAAAGGAACTCTTTCTCAAAATGTGATGCTTCCATGTGACTTTGACCTGAACTTCGTTTATGTTTCCACTGGCTGGGAAGGTTCAGCATCAGACGTCGGGGTTCTACGTTCTGCCATTAGGTCTAGCATGTCCCACTACACCACCGGCACCTGCGGCGACTCCCAGGACAGGCGCGGCAAGGTGTAGGGGCGATGGCGTGGCCACCCCGCAGCGGCACCGGCGGCGGCGGTGCCCCCTCAGATCCGGTCGGCAGGCAGGAGGAGCCTCGAGCGAGATGAGGGGCGAGCAGATCGAGCGGGATGAGGAGCGAGCAGATCGACAAGGTACGCCCTTTCCTCCTCCCTAGCTCGATAAGGTGCGGCTAGGCCATCGAGCTCCGCGGCCCCCGACGATAGCCTGGCCAAACCCTCGTGCTCGGCAGCCCCTGGCAGCGATGCGGCCCCTGATCTAGCTACTTCAACCTTCCCCTCTCCATCGGCATCACAGGGGTGGCTCCCCCTTTCGTGGCTCTAGTCGGGCAAGCAGCAACTACAGCTCTGGCATGCTCAGCCCACATAACAGCCCATCATGCCCAGTGCTTCTCTTCTCGTCTGACCCATGCAAGCTTCCCGTGCTCTATCAGATTCCTTTTGATTCAATGATTTTTTGCAGCATGCTGATACCCCGCTTGAATGTTGCAGTGGTGCTTCTCTTCTTGAATGTTGAATGTTACAATTTCAATGGTGACGTAAAGTTGCAGCATCCAAGAGCGACCAAGGATAAGGAGAAGTACCATCGGTGACTACTGTACACCGACCACATAGGTGACGATTGCTATAGGGCATATCTTTTGTATTTTCTTGGACAAAGATTAAGGTCTGGCATCGGCAACTTCTCTAATGTGATCGAAGTCTATTAGTGTCCAGATTGTTATCCGGTGGATGCACAAATCATTTGACATTGTATAGTAAACTGAGAACTAGCTGCTTAGGAAAAACCTTAAAGAGTTCATGACAATTCTGATAGTTCTGTTAATCTATTTATCCTTTCTATCTTTACCACATCGATTCTTCTTTCTCTAAAACATACTTGATTACTCATAAATTCATGGTTAATGCATTAAGTTTTGGATTGTTATAGGTATGGGCAAGGTTGTCGCTCGGCCCTTACCGAGTCAGTGAGCCTACGACGCCGCGCACTCCGTGACGATGTTAATTTCACGAATTTTGCTTTTTGGATTAAATGTTACTTTAACATTTTCACAGTATTGTTATTTTATCGTACGATCCTTGTGTTTTTAGTATAAAAGTTTTACTGTCCCGTAGCAACGCATGAGCACGCTACCTAGTTTTACAAAAAGAACAAAGACTCATAGAGGCCGTTTGACCAAAATGGGCATTTAAAAGGCCGATAGTTCACTGGCTTGTGGGCTGTTTTGTGGGCAAAGCCCAAACACTACAGGCCCATTAGTAACCAGACTCTGTACCCTAGTGTCTAGGAACGATTCACAAAATCAATCTGTTTCAAACTTTCAATCATTCAAAACAACAACAACCAAAAAAAACTGTCTGCTTCTTAGTCCTCTCAATCTCAGATTCCCACTCTTCACATAGTCAGAATATAACTGAAGTTCTGTAATATTTAGTTATAATTAAGATTCATTAATTAACTGATTATTAGTGCACCTACCACAGGTTCCTGGAGCTGAGCGACCAGACGCTGGCATGGATGATGGCCATTGACACCTGCTTCCTCCTCGACTTCCTCGAGAGCTACCACCGCGACGAGGTCACTGACATGGTGTCCTCGGCGACCAACTGGATCAACGCCACCGTGCGCGACGCCATGATGCTGGAGAACCAGATCCCGCTCTTCCTCTTCTCGCAGGCGCTCGAGCTCCGCCACCCCAAGGCCGAGCAGGCCGCCGCCGACGCGCTGCACGCCGTGCTCGACCGCTTCATCAAGGAGGTGTCCCCGATCAAGACCACCGCGGACCTGGTCGTCGCCGACGTCGCCAGGCACGCGCACATGCTCGAGCTCCTCTACCACTTCCTCGTCCCCGACGCGACGGTCTTCGACGGCGGAGACGGCGACCGGGAGCCGCCGCCGATGGTGCCCGAGGAGTTCACCATCGACATGCTCGACCCGTCGCAGCAGCTGCCGGACTACGACAAGGTGAAGCAGGCGTGCATGTAGGTGTCCAGCCTCGACGTGGCGCCCGTCCGGTTCATCCGGAAGAACCTCATCTCCCGGCCGATGAGCATGGCGTCGAGCCTCCCGGGGAAGATCATGCGCAAGGTGCCGCTGCTGTCGGCGCTGGCTTCGCTGGTGACCAAGCTGATGGCGTCCACCGAGGTGGAGGCGCGGCTCAAGGGCGTGAACCTGGGGAGCATCATCAGCTCGCCGCTGGCGCAGGAGATCATGATCCCGTCGGTGGCGACCCTGGCGCGGTGGGGCGTCCGGTTCGTGCCGGCGCCGGAGGGCATCGCCGGGATCGCCTTCGACGCCGCGACGGCGACGCTGAGCCTGCCCATCATCACGCTGGACGGCAACACGGAGGTGGTGCTGCGCAACCTGGTGGCCTACGAGGCCGTGGCCGTGCGTGGGCCCCTGGTGCTGGCGCGGTACACGGAGCTGATGAACGGCATCATCGACACGCCCAAGGACGTGAAGATCCTCGGGCAGAGCGGCGTGGTGGTGAACCACCTCAAGAGCGACAAGGAGGCCGCCGACACGTGGAACGGCATGTGCCGGGCGACGCGGCTGGGCAAGGTGCCCCGGCTGGACGCCGCGATACGGGAGGTGAACGCGCACCGGAGCCGGCGGGCGGCGGCGCGGGCGCAGAAGCTGCTCAAGAAGTACGTGTTCAGGTCGTGGCGGATCCTGACGCTGCTCGCCGCCGTCGTGCTGCTGCTCATGACGGCGATGCAGACCTTCTGCACCGTGTACCCGTGTTCCCGATGGTTCGGATCAGTGTTCCCCCAGATGCCGCAAGTCGGAGGAACTCAGTGATTCTGTTTTTGCTATAAGCTGTATGATGCGTTTAATTGGACTCACTTTTTATAGGTTGCCTGATTTTTTCACATTTTTCTAGTGTATAAATAAAGTGGTTGGATTTTGCACAACTTTTTTAAGAAGGGTACGGTCTCCAGATTGACGTGAATAGATAAGTGAATCTTCAAAATTGCAGTACTCATATATATGCAGGTGAGAACAAAAAAAATGACGCCACCATCACTTCTCATTTTAGGAGACAAGCTTCATAATTAAGAGATATACTGGGGTAGTTGCTATAAATGGCGAAAGTGGTCTTAGGCAAACACACACCTCTATCAATTGTTTATAGAGACATCCTAAAGAGATTGCCCCTGGTAGACGACTATTTATCGTTAATCCATTGATACAAATGAATTCCTTAAGATGTATGTCTCTAAAAATTACTATTAACAAAGGTGGACATTATAAGAGTATCCATTACGGCACTCTTAAGAGACACCTCTAGAGATCGTTGCATAAAAAAATCATATCTTTTTCTATGAAGTCGGATGAATACAAACTTTATGCTAAAATTGTAGATCTCGACACGATCTATAGCTTTATGATTCACAAGTCATTTATTTGAAATTGTTTAGAGTACAAAAAAAATTGTTTAAGTTCTCAAAATTTGAAATTTAAAATTCTTAAACAACCTCAGATAACGACAAGTTTTATATGGAAGTTGTAGTTCTTAGTACCATCTACAACTTTATAGTTTACAAGTTTATTATCAAAGTTGTATAGAGTCCCAAATAAATGTTTTAAGTTCTTAGATTATGAAATTCAAAATGTATAATTTCCAAACAATTAATAAAACTTAGATCCAAACAATTTTGAAATTCAAAACTCACTGGCCTTCTATTCGAGCAAGTTATTAAAACGTAGGACTCCTAGGTTGAAACCATCGGATGTATGAGCATTCTTAATTTAATTGACTTTTGCCGCAAGCCTCTGGAGTCTGGATCAACTGTTTTATATGTTATTAGTAGTGGCACATGAAGAGGCGGCAGAGCACCCAAAGCTTGCGACGAAGATCATGTCGGGTCGGCGGCGATGGTGAACGGCCCAATCATACGCAAAAAATTTGTGGCCCATGAAGATTCATATCCCGAAAGGTAAAAGAGAAGGAAGCTCATTAAAGCTCATCCCGTCGGATGCAAATTGGGACAATTTTGGAAGACCTCACATGCCAGTGGAACATCTGCAAAATAGCCCACTTGTGTAATGCCACTCCACCTGGCCTGGTCTGCCCAATGCCCCAATCCCCCTTTCATCTCCAAACCAGAAATGTTTCTTATTAAAATAAAAATCTCCAAACCGGAAAAAACCCATAGAACCCTAGACTCCCGACTCCATCATGCTCGCTCCACCGTCCTCCATATTCCTGCTATCGGCGGCAGCGGCACAGAGAAGAGCCAATCCGCCGGCTTGATCTGAAGCATGGGCAAAGTAAGAAAGGGAGCACCAATCGAGCAACCCGTCCATCCACTGCTGCTACTCGTGGGGATCCCTTCTCTATGTTTGTGGGACTGATTTGGGCGTGGATTAAGTAAAGCCGAATGTTTTGGTATTTGATGTAACCCACACAAATACAGAAGGTACATCATAAATGCACTAGTTATTTCTATAGTTAAGTAAAGTCAAATGTTTTGCTATGTGATGTAACACATAAAAATATACAAATTATTTCTATAGGTAAGCAAAGCCAAATATTTTGATATTTTATGTAACCCACACAAATAAGGAAGGGGAAAAAAAAGAAAAAATAGAACAAGAAGGAAAAATGAAAAAAGAGAAAAAAAAATTAAATGTAAAAAGGTATAAATTGTGAAGGAAAATGAAATACAAAATAAACTAAAAAAAAGAAAAGAAAAGAAAATAATAAGAGAAAATATCGCATCATAGAAACGTACGCCACACATCCACCACCCACCTTCATCACACACGTACACGTAGATCTATAGTCTAGTAAAGAAATCAATGGTCCAACGAAAAATCACAAATGCTTGCGGCGCATTTGGTCAGAGCTCTAAGAAGTCAGAAGCGATGATCACCGGAGAATCAGCTAGTAGGCTGAATCTCTACCACTAATAATGCATTGATTATCAACTTTCCTAAAGCCACGTCAAAAAACAATCCACAGAAGCATCTAAAAAATTACGCCCAAAGTCAAACCAACATTACAAACGAAGGTCACTTACCAACGGACCAGATTGTTGGGACCAAAACTCATCACTCATCCCTCATCCCGCGTGTCGGTGTTTCGGACCGAGGGTCCTCAACCAACTAGTGAATTTGAACTGCGTGTCCCTAACTCCGGATGGTGATGCAAAGAGACACAAGGTTTATACTGGTTCAGGCAATCGGTGCCCTACGTCCAGTCTGAGAGGTCGATCTTGTATTCCTTGCACCGAAGTGCTTGTAGTAGGGGGTTACAAGCTGGACGAGAGAGGGAGCTAGTCCCAGGTCTCTGCGCGGAGCGGTGCGGGCTGCTTGAGACGTTGCTCTCAGGCAGCGGGGAAGCGTGTGTCTGAATCTACGTGAGCCTATGCGAGTGCTCGTCTATCTTTCGCCTCGTGTCTAGAAACGGCCCCGGTCTCTCCTTTTATAGTTGAAGGGGGGACAGGGGTGATACATGTGTTCGCTATGCAGCGTCTTGTGAGCGGAGGTGGCGTTTCTGAGTCCTGTAGCTTGCTACTATGGCGGCATGGTCAACAGAGTGGTCTTGTCCTTGATGCACTGGAGCAAGGCGCCGGTCACACCCGATCTTGTGCGACGTGGGAGCTCCAGTGATAGCTTGGCGCAGGGCATGGCCGACGACGTGCCGGCCACTGTACGTTCACAGTGTAAAAAGCCGAGGCTCAGTTGGTGCCGAGGCCGAGCCATCGTGGGGGGCTCGGCGGGCGCAAATCCCGAGGCTGCCAAGACCCTGAAGTGGATTTCCGAGGCTTGGAGGGAGCAATTGGTCCTATACACTGATTCTGAGGCTATAGTGACTCGGACTTGACTCCCCACGCCACGCTGTTCCTGGAGCAGGAATTAGGTGGCACAGTGCAGTACGGGCGCCAGTCATGGGCGTAGTGCTGAGCACAGTGGCCGGTAACCCCTGCTCAGTCCTGTCTTCTGTCCCGTCGGCCGCTCTGCTGCACTGCGTCGTCGTGCGGCTGACGTTGCGGGAGTGGTTGGACGCGTGACGTTTTGTCAGAGAAGTCGGTCGAGACGGAGGCGACGAGGTTGTTGCCGAGCCGGCCTCGAGCGAGTTGGAGAATCGGTACTTCGTCCGAGGCTTTATGCGTGGGGCCTCAGGGCGAATCGGAGAATCGGTAACCCGTCCAAGGCCTAGCGGGGCGGGGCCTCGGCGGGAGGGCCTCGGCGAGAGGGCCTCGGCAAGGGGGCCTCGGCGAGAGGGCCTCGGCAAGGCGGAGGGTTGGCCTTTCGCCCGAGGCCTTTGCGGCACAGGCCTCGGGCGAATCGGTGAATCAGCCGAGACCTCGTGGTTGTCCCTTGGCTTTGATTTTTGCAAGGTCTAAGCAATTTTTTCGGTTCTTGCTTAGGGTACCCCTTTTTATGGTATCCGACAGTAGCCCCCGAGCCTTGGGGCGAGTGCGAGCATTCTCCCTGAGGCTTTGTCGAGATTCTGGCTTACAGCGGCTCTCGTCGGGATTGTGTTTTGTACTCGTGGTTCCGGTGGGTGCGCGCGAGCGCACCCGCCGGGTGTAGCCCCCGAGGCCCTGGAGGAGTGGATTTACTCCTCTAGGGGTTTTTTCTCTGTTGAGTAAGGAGTTTTATCGCGTCTGTCGGGCCCATGAGTACGAGTTCGGGTCGCTGGACCTTGGCTTAGTTGCAGGCAGAGCCCCCGAGCCTCTGCTCTGAGCGAGAGGGCGATCAGTGGTTTCCCTGTCTTTTTTGGCGGCCCTCGCGCATCCTTTTCGCTCGGAAGGAGGGGTGGAGCATGCCAAGCTACCCTCGGTGGGCGCGAGCAGTGACATCTCCGGTGAGCTGTTATCGGGTAAGTCCGAGTGGAGGCCCGTGCCCCATTCGATAGGGGTCGACTAGTGGTCCAGAGACGCACTCCAAAAGTAACAGAGGGCTTCTCTAGTAGGTCCCAGGGCCGTTCGTTTGGCCCCGGGGGCTCGGGGCCTCCCTACGGTGGGATCCCATTTGGGGACCTCCCTGCCGGTCTCGGACATGACTTAGGGCTTCCCAAGCACTTGCTTGCTTGGGCATTGGCCATGTACGAGCTTGCCCATAGTCATCCCTGACTCTATTTGTCCTGGGGTGGCTGTCGAAACCTTTGGGGGGCCAACCTTTGAACCCCTGGATCGTAACGGGCTCGGTGCCCTTTTTATCGCTTTTTTCCGAGCCTCCGAGTGCGAGCTTGGGTTGCTTGTTTTCGTTCTGGGTGCAGGAAGAGTCCCCGAGCCTCTGCATGGAGCGAGAGGACGGTCAGGAGTTCCCCTGGCTTTTTGTGCGACCCTCGCGCATCCTTTTTGTTCAGAAGGAGGGGTTGTTTGCCGAGTCCTCGAGTGCGAGCCTGGGTCGCTGGGTCTCGGCAAGGTTGTAGGAAGAGCCCCCGAGCCTCTGCACGAAGTGAGAGGGCGGTCAGGAGTTCCCCTGGCTTTTTGTGTGACCCTCGTGCATCCTTTTCGTTCGGAAGGAGGGGTGGAATATGTCAGGCTACCCTCGGTGGGCGCGAGCGGTGACACTTCCGGTGAGCTGTTATCGGGTAAGTCCGAGTGGAGGCCCGTGCCCCGATAGGGGTCGGCTAGTGGTCCAGAGACGCACTCCAAAAGTACCAGAGGGCTTCTCTAGTGGGTCCCAGGGCCGTTCGATTGGCCCCTGGGGCTCGGCGCCTCCCTACGATGGGATCCCATTCGGAGACCTCCCTGCCAGTCTCGGACACGACTTAGGCCATCCCGAGCGATCTTTTGCTCGGGCCTCGGCCATGTACAGGCTCGCCCATAGTTGTCCTTGAC